GATGTTTTTTTCAATCCTTTAATAACCTTAAAAGATGTTCTCCATGTCCCAAAGTTGTCCACGAACCTAGTGTCTATACAAAAACTTATAAAGGATTTGTCATGTAAAGTTGTTTTTTCAACGATCATTGTGTATTTCAGGACAAGGATTCAGGGAGGATGATTGGACATACTAGAGAATGAAATGACCTTTATTATCTCGAAGATCTAAGTCTGCTCTGCAAGAATAGAATCTCCCACTCCTTTATATCTGAATCCTTGATGACCAACAGAGAAAAAATCATGCTTTATCATTGTCGGTTGGGACATCCCTCTTTTGGAGTGATCAAAATTATATTTCCCTCTCTGTTTACCAAGTTAGATGTTGAGAGTCTTCATTGTGAGGTTTGTGAACTTGCTAAGCACAAGCGTATATCTTTTCCAATAAGTAATAGAATTAGCAATTTCCCTTTTTATCTTGTTCATACTGATGTATGGGGACCTTCTAATATTTCAAATGTGTCTACTTAAACAAAAATCAGAAGTCAGTTCTGTCTTCCTAAACTTCCACTCCATGATAAAAAATCAGTTTGGTGTTAATATTAAGAGGCTTAGGTCAGATAATGCCAAAGATTACTTCAATCATGTCCTTAATTCTTTTTGTCAAAAAGAAGGTATAATTCATGAGTCCTCTTGTGTCAAAACACCACAACAGAATGGGGTCGCAGAGAGGAAAAATGGACAACATCTATTAAATCAGACTTGGGCATTGTTGTTCCAAAAAAGTGTCCCAAAAAATTTATGGGGGGAAACTGTTCTTACAGCAACATACCTTATCAATAGACTACCCTCTAGAGTCTTAGGATCAAAAAGTCCTATGGAAGTTTTGTCGTCTTTCTATCCAAACTTGTCTACTACAAATAATCTTAAACCAAGAGTTTTTGGGTGTATCTCATATGTCCATATTCATAGTACAGACAGGGGGAAACTTGATTCTAGAGCCTTAAAGTGTGTCTTTGTTGGTTACTCACCCACTCAAAAAGGGTATAAATGCTACCACCCCCTATCCAAAAAATTCTTTGTGTCTAGGGATGTTACCTTCAATGAACAAGAGGGCTATTTCCATCACCCTTATCTTCAGGGGGAGAGTTTCAGGGAAGATAAGGAAAATAGTAATTCTGGTTTTCCCATTCTTCCAGACTTGACATTTGAACCTAAACGAAATCATATTGAAAGTAGTAATTCTGGTTTTCCCATTCTTCCAGACTTGATATTTGAACCTAAACGAGATCAAATTGAAGATCAAATTGAAGTTGTAACAAATGAAACAAGTCAAGGAATTGGTCAAGAAAAGGAAGTTGGTCAAGAAAGTGAAATTAATTGTGAAACTGATCAAGAAGATGTTGAAGCTGGAAAATTTGGTAAGAAGCTGGTGTACTCAAGGAAGACTAAGGCCATTTCAGGATCAAGCCATGTTCAAGAATCCAACTCGACTCCACAAAAAGAGGTAACAATTTTTTCTCCAGCTGTGCAGGTTGAAATTGAAACCCAAAATGATCCTGACCTCCCAATTGCCATTAGAAAAGGAACAAGAAAATGCACCAAACAACCACTCTACCCTCTCTCAAATTACCTGTCCTTTAAAAATTCCTCTCCTACCAATAAAACCCTCCTAGTAAACCTAAACACTGTACTTCTACCTAATACCCTATCTGAGGCATTGTCTGACAGAAAATGGAGGCAAGCCATGGATGTAGAGATGGAGGCATTGGAGAAGAACAACACCTGGGAGTTAGTCACCTTACCAATAGGAAAGAGGCCAGTTGGATGTAAATGGGTCTATACAGTGAAATACAAGGTTGATGGATCAATTAAGAGATATAAGGCAAGACTAGTTGCCAAAGGGTTCACCCAAACCTATGGAGTTGATTATTTGGAGACCTTTGCTCCGGTTGTCAAATTGAACACAGTTAGGGTGATATTGTCCCTTGCTGACAATTATGGTTGGAACTTGGAACAATTTGATGTTAAGAATGCTTTCCTACATGGAGACCTTGAAGAAGAAATCTATATGGAGATACCTCCGGGATATGGTAAAGATGTTGCTGCCAACACTGTTTGCAAGTTGAAAAAGGCATTATATGGGTTAAAACAGTCCCCTCGTGCATGGTTTGGCAGGTTTACTAAAGTTATGACAGGTCTGGGTTACAAACAAAGCCAAGGAGACCATACTTTGTTTTTTAAACATTCCAAGTCAGGGGGAGTAACAATATTATTGGTGTTTGTGGATGAAATAATATTAACTGAAGATAATAAAGAAGAGCAACAATTATTGAGCCAATGCTTAGGCAAGGAATTTGAGATCAAGACCTTGGGAAAACTAAAATATTTTTTGGGAATTGAAGTTGCCAACTCCGAGAAAGGGATATTTATATCTCAGCAGAAGTACATCACTGATTTGCTCAAGGAAACTGGCAAGGCAGCTTGCAAACCTGCTAGTACCCCATTAGAACCAAACCTAAAGTTTGGAAATGCAGAAGAAGATGTTGAAAAAGATATGTACCAAAGATTAGTGGGCAGACTTATATATTTGTCACATACCAGGCCGGATATTGCCTATGCGAGTGAGTTTAATTAGTCAATTTATGCATAGCCCAAAGGAGACCCATTTACAAGCTGCCTACGAATTTTACAGGTACCTTAAAGGAACTCCAGGAAGAGGGATTCTATTCAAAAGGAATGGTAATGTGAAGCTTGAAGCCTATACTCGATGTCGATTATGCAGGGTCAATTGTGGATAGGAGGTCAACTACGGGATATTGCACCTTTCTTGGAGGAAATCTTGTGACTTGGAGAAGCAAAAGCGAGGTGTAGTGGCTCGGTCCAGTGCTTGAAGCAGAATTTCGAGCCATGGCACAAGGTATATGTGAGTTGCTATGGCTTAAAATCATCTTAGAAGACTTGAGGATAAAGTGGGAAAAACCTATGAAGCTCTATTGTGATAATAAGTCAGCAATCAGTATAGCCCACAACCCAGTGCAGCATGATAGAACAAAGCATATTGAAGTAGACAGACACTTCATCAAAGAAAAGCTTGATAGTGGCTTGATATGCACTCCATATGTGTCCTCTCAAGACCAAATTGCAGACATTCTTACCAAGGGACTGGGCTGCCATAATTTTGAGAAGATTGTATTCAAGCTGGGAATGGAAAACATCTATTCACCAGCTTGAGGGGGAGTGTGACAAATCAAATAGTATTTTAGGAAAGAATAAATCAAGAAATTTGTATATTTCCTTGTAATCTGTACAGATTTGAATAATTAGGAACAATCCCATAAATCAAGGGATCCTAGCATAAAATAGAGTTATTATATTTCCTAAAATAGCTTAGGTCTCCTGTATATATCTTATATCATCTCTTTGTATTGATATAATAAAAATCATATTTCAGTTAATCTAATTTTCCAGAGTTACTAATATATTTAAGGTTAAATAGGTAATTTAGTCCCTTTATTTATTAAAATGTTTTAATGTGGTCCCAAAATTTTTAAAATTTTCAATTTAGACATAAATATTGAAATTGATGTCAATAGTGGACTATCGTTATGTATGTTTTGACTTCGTTATATTAGATGCATAGTTGGAGTATCAGTTCCGATGTGGTTAGGTGATTGTTTATAGTTACGTGACAGATTTGCCACGTCATATTAAAATTGCAGGAAGAAAGGAATAGGGTCGCGGATGTGTTTAGGGTTTGAACAATTGAGAGTTTGTGCAAATGGGTGAGGGAAAGTGAGAGGATCTGCAACGACAGGGGAGGTGGGAGTTCCATTTGTGACGACAGTGGAGGTTTAGGATTCCAATCGCCGTTGTGTGTGAGATTGACTGTGACGAAGGAGGAGGTTGGTTCCATTTAGGGTTTGCGACGACGACATCGAGGGAGCAAGTTGTTTTCGACGACGAGGGAAGGGGGACCTGCGACGATGGCAAAGTTGAGCATGCAGGAGGGACTATCTACGACCCATTGCGACGACGAAGGAACAATGGTGACGAGAGAGGAGCGGTGATAAGCGACCATTGTCGATGAGAATGCAATTTTAATGTGACGTGGCAAATCTGCCATGTAACTATAACCAATCACCTAACCACATCAGAACTGCAACTAGGCATCTAATATAACGGAGTCAAAAAATAAATAATGGTAGTCCAAAATTGACATCAATTTCAATATTCATGTCTAAATTAAAAATTTTGAGACCACATTGAAACATTTAAAAAAATAAAGGAACTAAATTACCTATTTAACCTATATTTAAGCATCAAAATGATCATTTACCCATAAAAAAATAATATTAAAAATCTATTAATGACATTTATGCATAAAATAAAACTCTCAATACAATAATAATTCAAATTGTCATGTCATAACAGAAAAATAGCAATTGAAAGGTTTGATAGTACGTTAGTGCTAACTACATAGATGACAAAATCATATAAAATTCATTAAAAGTAAGTTTTTAAAGGGAAAACAATTAAAAAAGGAGTGAATTTATTTAAATAAATTAAATATAATAAAATATTCTCATTGTGGGGTACAATTCAAATTAAAATTTCATTTGATTTTAAACTCGATAATTCTCTCCTAACTTGAGAGTTTATGCTAGTTTACTCAACAAAGAGTTTAATAACGAGTTAAGCCGTTTTCTTCATCTAGGATCTTAAACTCATTAGAGTTTAAGAGTTATCTCAAAAGTTTGATAACCTTGATTATAAGGATCAGACAATCTAACATTAAATGACTGTAAGAATAGTACTAAATCAAATCTAAACAATTAATTCTTCATCAAATTCCAAGAAATCATCATCAACTCTCAACATGATATTGGCAGTAACTCTCGAGGCATGTGAAAGTGAAACAAATAATAAAATATAATTCCAAGTTTGACAGCTTCTAAGTACTAGTATAGTTTAAAGTTGGGTCTTGCTAGTTTTTTAAAGTATTGGGCAAAAGAGGGAGCAATGTTTGTATGGTCGATTTATTGTGACACTTATCATTTTAATAAAGGTAATTTAGTTAATATTGGTAATGTGGTTCCTTGTAGTTTGGCTGATGTAATACGAAACATGTCTTACTAAGAAGACTCTTTCTTGTTGTGTTCAGTTTGATAGTGAAGACACTGTGGTTAATCTTCCTTTACCTGAATGTTGGGTGGTAAGCTGGTTTTATTTTTTACATTTTTTATGTTGCTAATATTGCTTAGTTTTGATAATCTTGATTCAACTTTTTAGGTGTCAAAACTTCACTTGCTCATTGAGTCTGTCAGTGCAAGCTATGACAAATTTTACTTTGGAGAAGTGGGACGTGAAACATATGACTTCTTTTGGGCTGATTTTGCTGATTGGTATGTTGTTTTTATACTAGTAGTACTACGTCTTTGTGTTTCTATATGGTGAAGCTTGATTTTGAGTAATGCTCTGACTTTTTAGGTACATTGAGGCTAGTAAAGGGCGTCTTTACCACTCTGGAGTTGGAGGCAAATCTGTTGCTTCAGTGGCACAAGCTGTCCTGTTATATACTTTCGAGAACATACTCAAAGTGCTGCATCCTTTTATGCCATTTGTAACCGAGGAGTTGTGGCAGGTAAATTTTCACCAAACATATTTATGATGATGATTTGAAGTCTTTGCCATTGTGTTATAAAGTCTTGTGTCTCCCAAATAAACAAACTTATCAATGATTGAATCTGAACAAGCTTAGGCTTCTTAGAATCACGGTTAGGGTTCTCAGCTTTTCCTCCCTTAATAGCTAGTTTCTTAGGGTGGATTCTCTTAGTTGGATGCTTATCACACACGAAATAGCATAAAATCTGTCTTGAAAACTGGAGATGCATGTACTCTTTTTAACGTCTGGAGGCTAAGTGCTAATTAAATCAGGTTCGACATACTTTTCCTCTAAATTTGTTACTTATAAAAATTCAAGTTGGTCTCAGATCTGGCTTAGACAATCTAGCTCCTTTTTCAACAACTATTTAGCGTCCACCTACTGTTTGATACTCTCTCCCCAAGTGCTTGACTGCTTATCATAATTGAAATAGCATAAATATTTGTCTTGTTAATAAGAGATGCATTTACTCTTTAATTCATATAAATACCATATGTGCAGAGTGCTTACTAAAGCAGGTTCAGTAGTACACTTTTCCTCTAAACCTCTGATTTTCTAAATTCATGTTGGTTTCAGAACTAATTTGGATAACTAGCACCTTTTTCATCAACTGTTATACTTCCACACACTTTGATACTGATGGACAGGAGAATAAGGAAAGGGTTTGTAATGGGTACTATAGAAAGAAATTTAAGAATAACAGTAGTTAGTTGTTACGGGGCTGAGAATTTTGTAAAGTCTATACATATTCTTATCCCTTGGGGTGTGGGATAAGAAGAATAGTAGTTTTTAAACAAGTAGTGCCCTGGGAAAGGAAGATTGTTTCCTTTGTATATGGTTGTTTGAACATATTAATTGAGGAGTGTAAAGGGGTTCTCTATGCTTTTTTGGAGACATTTCTTTTCTCTGTTATAGGGACATGTCAAGTTTCGTTTGACCTACTAGATTCTCCTGCGAAGGCTTATTAGGGAGAGTTGTTTGAGTGCATTGGAAAGATGGGCCATTGAACAAGGGAAGGTTGTGGCAAAAATGAAGATTGATTTGTCCATTGTTAAGGATAGACTATCGAACATGAAAGAGATCAAATAACTACTTCTAGAAATCAAGAAAGGAGAGAAATCGTCAGAAGGGAGGAGAGATGCTGCGGCCTTAGACAAAAAGGGTGGAACTGCCCACCTTTAAAAGAAGTGATTTGCTCGGGTATATAGCATGTGCTGAAAATTTTTTGACGTACAGAATGTGAATCACAAGGAAAAATTACGATTGGCTCTGATCAACATGTAAGTGAATGTAAATCATTAGCTTAAAGTTTTGGCACTAGAAATCCAAAAACCCATCTTGGAGGTTGTGGGGTATGGACAACGTAACGAGGATGAGAACACTGGGCATCTCATACGGATCAAGAATTGGAGGGAATGGAACCACGAGCTTACAGCCCAAGGCACCATTACAAAAATAAAATAAAGTTGAGAATAATCACCATTACTAACTGGTCTTGCTAATCACTACTAATTTGCATCCTCGGTCAAAGTTCGATTTGCTAGAAATTAGGGATTGATTTTATTCCTTGTATCCTTAATTATCTCTACTGTTGATTATAAATAAAGATAATGTTTTCTTTGTGAATAGGCACTTCCTAACCGGAAGCATGCTCTTATTGTATCACCTTGGCCAGAGACTCAACTTCCTAGGAACAACAACTCTATAAAAAAGTTTGAAAATTTACAGGCTTTGGTGAGTTCATATCTTTCTTTTCTTGTCTCATCCTTTTCCATACTTCTTTGGAACATGATACAATAATCATACTTCTGTGAATTCGTATCTTTTTATCTTTTTCTTGTTTAGGTTAGAGCTATCAGAAATGCTCGGGCAGAATATTCTGTTGAGCCTGCAAAACGTATCTCAGCATCTGTGGTTGCAAACAATGAAGTAATAGAATACATTGCTGTAAGTGTGATTAATCCTCATTTCTCTACCTGAAATGTTTGAGAAAAGGAAAATGAATTGCAATTTTATTTATCATCATCTGATTTCATTCTTTATCTTTAATATATAAATCATATTAAGTATGTTTTTATATAGTTTTCTATTCACCTTTTCTTTCCATCTACCTGCTTAAAAAATGACCTGCCCCAAATTTGGAGGAATCTTTTCATTTCTAGGCAACATGGGAACTGTGACCTTGATGAAGATAGTAAATTTTCTCCTATGTTAAGTAATTTTATTGTGTATCTTATGTTTCATTAGGAAGAAAGAGAGGTTCTAGCACTTCTCTCTCGGCTGGATATACAAAATCTGCAATTCACAAATTCTTCTCCAGGCATGATTTCTAACGAACTTTACGCTCTGGTTTAAACTAAAATTGCATTTATTTTTCCTCATGTCAATTATCTATTGGTTCTAAATAAGTACTGGTGGCTGAACCAATGTCATGTAATATACTTCAGGAAATGCAGATCAGTCAGTTCATCTCGTGGCTGGAGAGGGACTAGAGGCATATCTCCCTTTGGCCGATATGGTTGATATTTCTGCAGAAATTGAACGGCTTTCAAAGCGTCTTTCCAAGATGCAGAAGGAGTATGATGGATTGATATCTAAACTCAGTTCTCCTCAAGTATGGAACAATATATTTCTTACCTTCACCTTTCTATAAATGTTTACAAAAGATTTTTCCACAATATATTTATGCTGCTCAAGTACCAATAGTGATATCTGGTGATATTTTTGTTTAGCAGATTTGTAGGCTCTTGTAGGACTACAATAGTATTTGTGTAGTATTTTGTTGACATGTATGCACAAAATTGTTTATGGAATTACTTATTGCTGTGACTTGCTACAGTTTGTAAAGAAGGCACCGGAAGATGTGGTCCGCAAGGTGCAAGAAAAAGCCACAGAAGCAGAAGAGAAGATCAATTTAACCAAGAAACGACTTGAATTCCTGAACTCTAACGTTCTAGTTTCACAATAGGCATCATCATGGTTTGCTGCATTTTACAGATATCGATTAACGCCTGTCGTGTCCACTTTCATGCCATGTTGGCTCATGTTGCAGTAAACACTGAATGTAGGTAACAAAAATCGCAGCTCTTCTAATTGGCATCGCCAAGAGAATTAATGTGGATCTTCTCTATTTTTGTCTTAACGCCAGGAATTCTTAATCTTGCTGAGGGATGAGCAAAATATCCACAAAAGGTTGTGTCACCATCAGATGAGCTGTTGCAAATGTAGGGTATCGGCGGTTGCCAATGATCCATCGGTTTCAATTATTTGATTAAGTTGGATACTAGAAAGAAAATGTCATTGCACACAGTACAGTGCTCTTTCCCATACTTTCTTAAGAGACTGTTGGAATTTTTTTACAGTTTTGTGAAAAAGTAATAACTCCTACTGCCAAACATTTCAGTTCAGACTATCTCAAGTGTCATCAATAAATATCCAATCAATTTAAAATAAAATATAAAATCAAAGGTGGCCTTTTGTTTAGACTATAACCTCAAATACAGAAATTATAAATTAGCCAAAGCCATTAGACAGACATTGACCTGTCAGTTGTCTATATCACCCATCGCCCCTCCCATCCCATGTGTGACCTCAGATAATACCCCGCTGATTGACTGGAACTAATTGAACATTTATCATGTGATAGCTTTCTAATTAACTAACGTTTGTTTTGTTTATTCTAAGTTAATGTTGTTATGAGCCTTCCAATGGATGCTTTGTTGGATTTCTTCTATTTCTGTAATAACCTTGTTATAGATGATTTTATTTAAAAAAAATACAACCAAATATGTAATCTTTATTTTTGCTATTTTTGACTCTGTTTTTCCTTATTTATTTTTCTAACACCTCTATTTTTTTGTTTTTGTACAACCAAAAATTTTCATTTGGAAGAAGGAACAAAATCTCACCATTTTCCATCACAGTAGGATCTAGTAGAAAATTGTAAAATCTTTTGTGTATTTTATTATGGATATTATAATTTTATTATGGAAAATTGTAAAACGGTATATTGATTATAGATCTTTATTTTATTAGGTAGGAATTGAGTAATAATTTAACCAGAAGAAACCCATATCTAAATTGAGACTATAATTTTTTGTCAGCTAGATTCTCTAGAGGATTTGAAATGGCAACTTCATCAATCTTTTTACAACTGTGCTGTTAGAAGAATTAATAATTGATGTTAATCTCTGGGGACTAGGTAAAATGAATGTTGTCATCACTTGGACAAATGAATATATTTTTTCAACCCATATAAATTCAGTAACTAAATAGGGGAAGACATTTCACCTCCTCCCAATGATAAAATTGTGCAAATAAAAACTATTTCCTTTTCTTCCTTGAATGATTAACTCATGTATAAGTCATGTCATTCTGTATTTTGTTTTAATTTTGTCTAAATTATCTTTCCATGAACAAATTCAAATAATGCCTAATAGAGCCCGTGGTTTAGGTGATGGGTCAAAAATATTAGGTGGGAAACTAGGCCCAAGGTTAAAAGGTTTACAGGAAAGAGAGAGTTTGTTTGTAAGACATGTGATTCATAATATGTGTTTACTTGGTTCAGATATGGCGGAACTATGGCAAAGAAGATCAAGAGACTTGGTGCTTCATGTAATTGGTCTTGAGAGCACTTTACACACTTCATGAACAGCTAAGTCGTAAGACAGTTTTCTACTCGTTAGAGTTGTAGCTAAGAAAATTATGACATGTTGTTTTTAATTTTGATAATTTTTATAGTGCTTTCTTATTATTTTTTAATGTTGGTTAAATTTTCTCATAAACATAAATCCAACATTGTTGTATTGGTAGCATTTGTTTATTTATGAAGTTATAAATATTGATACCTTGTCTTAACATTAATATAGCCAGAAACAGCAGATGAGGCATTTGTTCGACTTCATAAGAAATGTTTGATTTATCAAAGTTACATTACAACATATATTTCATTTACACTTTGTTTTGACATGTGTTTGATATAGTTGGTTTTGAAGATGTAAAATTGATAGCATAATTGTCATTTATTAATAAATTGTTTTCTTGGGTCTGCTCAGTTTAATAAACGGTTGCATTAAAATAAACAAATAAATAGTTGAGATTTTTTACTCAATTTAATAGAAAGAGTAATTTTATAAATTAATTGAGATGAAATTTAAATTGAAGTGTCATGAAAAGAGATAAAAATCTAATAATTATGTTTGCAGAAATTTAGGGGGAGAAATAGGAAAATGATTAAATGTTGATTACTCACTAATCTATTTTATCAAGTGACTTCTTTTGCAGAGTTATTATTCAAAAGTGGTGTTTGTCTTTATCAAATAGGGGGAGACTGAAAGTAATGAAGATCTTATTTACTTTGGCAAAGATCTTGTTGATTTGATGAAGTAAAAAATGAAGTCAAAGGCAACTCTGTGGCAGTCAAATGTCACTTAAGATAAAAGAGAAGAGGATTAGTATGTCTGCAGCTCTGCTTAGGTATAACCATTTTATCCTTCTGCTGCATGTGGTTTCTTCACTTAAAAAGATTATGCAATTGCCTCTAAAAAATGTTTTAACCGTTAAAAACAAAACATTTTGACAAAAGGATTTTTAATCAACTATTTTAAGCTGATAGTATATGTGGTTTATCAACTAAAATGTTCTTCACACTTCTATAACAGGTTTTCAATTGATATATCTTCAAAATAACCGATTGTTTTCATTAAAAGAAGTGTTGAAAACTTTACTGTCGAGTATTTTAATTAATACAATTTCGAAATAACCGATTGAAATCACTTAAAAAGATCAAGGAAGTGTTTTTTCAGTATTTTAGTCGATATAACTTCGAAATAATCGATTAAAACCACTTGGTATATCAAATGACCGATCAGAATGGCTTTATGACCGATCAGAACCAGATATGATCGATCAGAATGGATTTATGACCGATCAAAACCAGATATGATCGATCAGATTTGAGTTATGACCGATCAGAATTATTTTAATCGATTAAAACATATTTCAATAGATTAAAACAACTTGGAAAATTTGTACTAAATGTTTCAATCGATTAAAACGTATTTTTATCAGTTAAAATCACTTGAAAAAGTTTATAAAAATGTTTTGCAGTATTTTAATCGATTGAAAGTTGAAACAATCGATTAAAACAGATTAGAAGATTTTTTGAAAAGAGTTTTAATTGATATAAACGTTGTCGTATTAGTTAAAACAAAACTGAAAAATAATCAAGAATGTTTTAATGGATTAAAAGAAGTTTTAACAGATTAAAACAAGTCTTTTAACATATTAAAAGATTATTTTAACAGATTAATTAAACCAGCAGTTTTGAAAAATCTTCTCTATAAACAGATTGCTTGAACTTTTTTAAACATCATCTTTTACATATCTTATACACAACTTTTAGCAATCAATCAGGGAATCAAAAGTGTTACTTTCAAGAAAGAATCACGCTTATTTTTGTGAAGTTCATCAAAGTTCTTTCTTGAGGCAAAATTGCATTTCTTTGGAGAAGAAACACATATTGCAGAATTGCATAAAAGCTGGTTTGAGCATTCTTAGTTTCTTCGTTTGTTTCTTTACTTTCTTTTACTTGTATTGTGGGTGCACTGGAATTGTGGGCACTTGGTTTTCTGTAGATGGAATTTGGCTGCAGGGTAGTTCAAGAACTGGAATTTGGTTCTTGGTGAAAGGTTAGGTGCGGGAACTAGAATTGTGGTTCTTGTGTTAGATTGAGTGTAAGGTTAAGGTTGTAATCTGTAAAACATTCAATCTAGTGGAACCCAGCTGGAATTTGGCTGGAGACTGGACGTAGCCCTGGGATTGGGTGAACCAGTATAAACCCTGGTGAAATATTTCTAAACCTTTCTCTTCTTTAATTTTGTGACTGCATTTATTTTTGATTGCTTCTTGCGTATGATTCAAGAATTGATCAGATTTCTTAATCTTTAAAATTGATAATCTGTTAATTGCGAAAATCTTTCAAAGATCAATTCACCCCCCCTCTTGATCTCAGCCTACATTTCTAACAATTGGCATCAGAGCGAGGTTCTTGAGAGTTATTCAAGTTCTTCGATCCATGGCTGGAAACAAATTTTCTGAGGGTGCTTGTATTGATAGACTTCCACTGTTTTGTGGAACAGATTATCCATTTTGGAAGATTAGGATGAAGATCTTTATTAAATCTGTTAGTATAAATGTTTGGAATATCATTGAACAAGAAACTGATATTGTTAACAAAGATTGGTCTAGCTTAAATGACTGTGAAAAGAAATTAATCCAAGATGATTATATTGCCAAAAATATTATCATATCTGCACTTAACATAAACAATTTTTTCAGGATAACACATTGTCAAACTGCTGCACAAATGTGGAAGATCCTTGAAATGACCTATGAAGAAACAACAGAGATATGCCTAATGGTCAACTCGGATTCACCAAAAACCAGTGTAAGTTCTGACTCAACAACTACTATGAATTATAGTTCATTACAAGATGCGTTTTATGAAATGCATGCAGTAGCTAAAAGATTAGAAACTGAAAACAAAAGATTAAAAAGCATGAATAGTTTATTAGGAAATAAGATCACTATTCTTGAAAAGAAAATAGTTGATGAAGAAATCAAGAATGAAAATTTGGAAATAGGTAATAATTCTGATTGCATGTGTAATGTTAAAGATTGCAAAAACTGTCCTAAGTTACAAGAAAAATTAACATACTTAATAAAAACTGCATCTAAACTTGCACAAGGAAAAACTAGTCTTGATATGATACTTGATTCTCAAAAATTAGTTATTGATCGTGGTGGAATAGGTTTTACACCTTCTATTAGAAAGAAAACTAGAGCATTTGAACATTATTTTGCATATAACAAATCTATGTCATCTCCATTTATTAAATGTTCTTACTGCATGAAAAAAGGTCATTCTGTAAAATATTGTAGAATAAAGAAGTATGTTATTCCTAGAGG